GCATGAATTTGCATTTGCAAATAATTTATAAATTTCAACTTGGTAAGGTTCCATTCAGCCTATTTCTTCAGTCTGTGCAGGTCTAGGTTGTGGGAGCCTCACCTCGACAAGGCTACTGGATTTTTCAACCCTTAATAGTAAATATATAAGAAGACTGCTATATATCCTTTCACAATAAGTAGTTTTAGATCTAACACTGACAGCTCTACAGGAAAACTGTAATTGCAATTTTATTTACTTGACCAACACAGCAGCAGCTGCCTACCTATGTCACAGTGCATTCCAGCTATTTCTTCAACGTTCTTGAAATCTTATGTGTTTCTCTGTTAGACTTGCTGTACTTTTTTTTTTTTTTCTCGTGAATTTGCAAAAACTGTATCCTCCTAAGGAAAGCATCAGTTTCCTGGTAATAAAGTGTGAATAACTTATGCATTTCTAAGAGAGAGAGCTCTACTGAAGAAAGAATATACAAAGCAGGTATGCCTTCCATGTTATTCAGTTTATTAGACTATACTTTTGTTATTTGTAAGATATAGAAACTTCATCATATTGCTTCAGGCACTCATGCACAAATGCCAGTCTAGTCGAGAGACTTTCAATAAGAAATGGCACATCACTCCTACCAATTTCAGTAGTGAGTAGAAATTCAGTTGAGAAAAAGTCTATTGCCTGACCAATTTGCAAAAGCTGTGTTGAAAGAAAAAGAGTAGGCTTGGCTTGAGCTACACCCCTCAGTTTGAACAGTGAGGCMAAAAAAAATCAAACATAAAACAGTGATAAAGAATATTAAACAAACTTAATGGTTTCAAGGATTTGCTAACAAGTAAATACAGTACATTTTTTAATATGCGCTTAAAATGATCAGAGACTGAAGAGCTGTAAAGATATGCTGGTATCTAATTGCCCCCAAATACTAAAGGGAGTGACAGACTGACAGATATGGCCCAGAAGGAAGAAGTCCCCCAGCCAGAGGAATGGAGCAGTGCAGAACGTGACTTGTCTCCTTATGGAATGTATCATGGAATTTTAATACTCAGCAGGCTGAGTAAGGAACTGTTCATAGCCTGACAAGAGAGAAACACTGGGGAAGGGAAGAGTTCACAASTTTTGTCCCAATTCATGGTCTAAGCATTTTATTCAGTTTTCTCAGAAGCCACTGATTCTGCCTTTGGTCGACAGACAAGTACCTATTCCTGAAAAGAACGCAGTCTAGAAAGTCAGCACAGCAACCAGACAGATATTTGACTTCATTTAGTATCTGTGTTAGTTCTAAGCCCCTCCAGTGATGATTTAGAATTTTTAGGACAGAAAATTAAATTACTCATTTAATACATATGGGATAAATAACAACCCAACACAAACATAATAGATTATTATTGATTTCTTCTTTACATCGCTTGCCAAGTCTAAGGACAGCTATTCAACTGTACACTTTCAATGTTATCTTCTGGAAAACAGTATTTGAAGTATTTCTGAAAAGGTTTTTAGTTTAAATGCTAGAAATTGCCTGGTCATATGTAAAACATTTCTAGGGCAAATTACACATGTYAAAAATTTGTGTAAAATCTCTTCCTTTATTCTATATACTACTTTATTCCACAGACAAATTACCAGTCCAATTGTTAAATTTCTTGAATAACTCGAGTCTCAGAACTCACTCAATCATCTGACCTTGATATCTGAGATAACTCAAAAGTACAACTTTATCAATAAGAAAAAAGTTCACCAAGGAAACATTTCCTGTGCAACAAGAAATTTCCCAACCTTCATATCACCGACTGGAATAATTCTAAAAAACCAGCATTATTTAAACATCTATCAGTATTACTCAAACATAGTTCAGATAACTTTCTTGAAATGCAGTCATACTACATGTAGAATATAAAGTGCTAGTGAAGCACATGCTTTGACATGCAAATATAATACTCTACTGCATTGCCAAGTATTACTTATTCCCTGCTGAAATAATGTTAAGTAACATACTTTCTCTAATGTTAACCAGTCTAGAGGGTGACAAACATGATATATTGTAAGATTTTACCTAAGAAGATAATTCTCACTTGATTTATTAAGAAYGCTTATATTTACATCAACTTCCACTATGTCAGCAGAAGTTGAATATGAAGATTTTTCTGACTTCTGCCATTTTAATTGAACTTGCATTTAGTATTTTTGTTACATCTTTGGCATTCTACTGAATAACTATTTCCTACTTACAATGGAAAACAATCATTTATTTGATTGAAGCATARTTTGAATTGCTTAAACTGAGAAAGTTTCTTACAGTATTGATCAATATTTTTTGCGTTTTTGCCACTATTATCCCACAAAACTTGGCACTAAGCTTGGCATGATATTGCTATCTATTCATATTTCCACTGATAAACACACAACACATGCCTATACAACTTTTTTTTTCTCATTTTTTTGAACTCAAGTACTATCATCTTCAATTTATTAGGTTCACTGAGAAAACAAAGGAACACACAGATCAAGAAACTCAAAAATGCAAAGTCTTTACTCCCACTAAATTCACCAAGGTATCAGTGTCCTCCTGTTACCATTTCTTAAGTAAACTTGTTGTACTCCAAACAATGTACAGAAACAATTTCTTAAACTAAACCAATGTTTAAACAGAGAGTGACCTATATCTACTCATTACATTTTTATGTCATGTCAGCCGCTTTATGTAAATCATTCTAAAGCTTTTAATACCTTGAATGGTAAAATTATGATTAATTAGGTTCACAAAACTTATMAATACATCTCTGCAATTGTGAAGCTAAAAATCTGCAGCTGAAAATTACAGAGGTATTGGAGGTGGAAATAGGTTGCTGATAGCCCATTCAGACTCCAGCAAAACAATGAATTCCAAATCTGACTACTATTTTGTTAATGGACAAACAAGATAAAAAATTGCATTAAATTTTCTTTKTAGAAAGCAGGTCAAAATGCAAATTTTCCAACTACTAAAATCTCATGCTCCCTGGTGTATTTTTTTAAGAAACACAATATTAAACTTGTTCTTGGTGATAATTCATAACAGCAACAAAATTTACTAATTATAAAGACATTAAAAATGTGTACATTACCTAATGCTGCTCATGCTTCCAGTTTCTGATCCAAGCTTACATCTCTCCAGCTGGCTCGCTACAATCTGACGTTCAGCCTCAAGTTCTCGAGTCAGTCTCTCAAACTGCAGTTCCTGAAAAAAGTAAGTTAAACCATTTGCTTTGACTTCTCTTGAGATAAAGAAGGAWTTTCAGCACACAAAAATGTAATTTGTGCAAGAACTATTAGCGTAATACCTTACAAGGAAACTTTTTTTCCTTTTTTAATACAGTTCAAATTTCTGTGGTGACACCTACTTGCTCCATTTACTCTAATGATGAATGAGAMTGTTTATCAGGAATGGAACTTCCAAATGCATTAAATAATTTAGGCCTACAGAGTTCACACAAATTTCTCAGCAGCATAGAGATTTTAGCAAGCTGACCTAAGTATGATCACAGATAAGTAAAATTTGTGTCACTGAAAAAAAAGATGCGAAGTTCTGTGGGTAATCCTTTGGTGACAAAAGCTTCTRCACTTAAAAAGACAACCATCACAGTATAAACCAGTGAAACAAACTAAATTGAAGGTGTGTTATTATGGACTGAGCGCAGCGTAATTTCTGCATTTAATGATGTGCAGAAGGGAAACACAAGAGCAGTTTTGGACAAAAGCTGTGCCAAAATTCCTACCACTAATGTATTTTCTTTTATTCTGTCAAGGAAACCAAACCAATACTACCAGGTAAGATTTATCCACAGAGCTTCTAAGGGTATGTATAAAGTGGTTTTGGTTTTATACACACAAGATTCTTTTTTTATTAAAAAAAAACAGTAAAAGCAACATAAGTAAAATCCCCACCATTTCTTAAAGGGCTACATTCTCCCTATATTGTAGCAATAGTTTTATCAAATAAAAAAAAAATGAAATACTTTTAGGGAGTTATGCTTACTGTAGATTTGTCAATTGTGGCTGCTCTTTCATTTTAGTCATAGTTACATTATGTCATTTTCACAGGTAAACAAAAACATCTCTCCTGSCCCTTTTATTTAGATTTGTTGAAGGATGAAGGAGAAATATTTTGAGAACACATTTCTTAAGTAATTAAGTTATCTGCACAAATGCACCCATTCTCTCTTTCTCCCTCTTTTTTTTTTTATTTTTTTTTTCAAAACTACCTCCCAGAAATGCAGAGGTATGAGTGGGAGTCCCTTGAATAACTCCTCAGCAAAATCCTGCCTGGCAGAACAGCACTGGAAATTAACTGGAGTCATRACTTATATCTACCAAGTTTCACTGAAGGACTTCGTACTTGAGAGAAAGGAAGAAGCGGCAGGAATAGGATTCCTAAGTGTTCATTTTATGTCCTACTGAAAACCTCTGACCAAGAAGCCAGGGGTAAATGAAGGCATTAGACTTTTCAAATCTCTGAAATGAGGCAATCATAACTGACATGCAAGAAGGAAATGGCAGAAAGTCATTAATCCAGCTGGATCACTCCTCATTGTTTCTCTTGCTATTGACACGGAATAACTTCWGTCCTGCACTGGGAGTAAAGTGGGAAGACCACATGGGTTATATACAGCATGGAATAGGCAGCGCACACCTAAATGGCCACTGGCTACGTGACAAAGCCTGCTTAACTGTGAATTTATTATTCCAAACTAATCTATAYAGAGTACAAGAAAATCAGATTGATGTAAACACCAAAACGTCACTGCTYATTAAATGTCAACAGTTCTGTAGTAATCAATAGCTGATAATAGTCTCCGAACATTTTTTAGTGTGCAGAAACATCCTTCTCACTGTTGTTTGAAGATAGGATTAAAAAATATCACATGACARTAATCACCTATTCCATATATGCCTTCTTCACAGAAAGCATTTCTCCCCAGAAGAATCAATTGCCTGAAAAGCTGAAGAGACTGTTGATCGGCTTTCCAAGAGTTATTATTCAAATCCCAGTCTTGTTTGCATAGAATAAAACCCTTAATGCACAAAGGATTGTAACAGAACTATTACTAAATTGTTGAAGAATGAAAAATCAAAGTGGTACAGTATTTTCCATGCCAGCATGCTTACATCAAAGCATGCAAGCCTGGAGAAATTCTGATAGTATGAAGTACCAAAGAAAATAAAACTGAGTGTTGTGTTTGCTTTCAAAATAAAAGAAGTTTAAACAGCTATTCTGTTCTACTGCATTTTTAAAGTTACTTGATTCTATTGTGACGATGTCCTTTCTGTTCCCTTCTGCCTTCCATCTTTCTTTCATTTCCTAGCACACTTCATGACTCATTCTCCACCAAAWCTCTTTTAGTCCTATTACACTAAGTGCTCCAGCAAACACCCAAACTGATTGGTTTAAGGAGTTTCTCTCATGCTCTCTCTCTCTGGCTCCTTATTGAGGAAACTGCTCTTAAGATGTAGAAATTAATGTTTCACTGCTAACATTATTTAGGTCCTGCCCTACAGAAATGACTAGAAAATGGCAGTTGCATCTATGATATTCCTCAAGAAGGAAGCAGAGATGTGCTGGATCACTTAAGAAAGAAATAATCTTAGTTTCTAATGCATGAAAACAGCTAGAAAACATGAACAGTAACTTCATTACTATTTCTTACTTATMTTCTGTCAGGTGCCATCAGAAGATAGAATGAAAGGAAGGAGACAAAAGGTGGGAAKGTGGGATATGTGAAGAGCCAAACAWTTATTACTTCWAGAACTACCCTGTACATTAAATTTAATAAGCAACTGTGTTTGGTATTCCCTCATGCCATGAAAAAGGTGCAGGTCCACAGGGTTGCCTYTGGAATGAAAAAAGCAAAGATTTAAGGTAAAATTTGTGAGTCTTCTTTCCCTCTGTACCAAGAAATCYGACAGTAAACAAATTGATAAGATTCCTTCTCTTTGTTTGGGAAGCAGTGAGAGTGACTAATATTTGAATAAATCCATATGCTTAGATTTCAAGCAGCTGTCAGTGCAAGAAGACAGAAACCAGAAATAACATTTGCTTACATTTTATAAAAATAATCACTGAACCTGACTCCATCATTTGTCTTATTTGTTGTGTTTACAATAGTTTTCACCAATTCATGCCATGTTGTGTTATCTTCACAACTTTCTCTTATTTATCTGAATCAAGCTAATCAGAACATCAAAATTAAAAACAAATTCCTAGTCACTGATTATGCAAATCTGTTGTCAAGACAATTGCAGAATGAAGAACAGCAGAAACTACAATGCAACATCAAAATTAATTTACATAATAACATGTCAAGAGCAGCCTCAAGGACCGTGCTACAAAGGGCAATAATGCCAAAGCAAGTGCCCATGCAAAGGCACTACAGAGTGCAATGACCAGCYCGGCAGTCCCTAGCACTTGGCACCAGGAGGGATGTGGGAGTGGGAAGCTACCAGAGACCAGAGATAACGATTAGGAATCCAGAGAAATCACTCAAGAGAGTGACCTAGAAAGGGAGGAACTTCATGATAACCTTATCAGATTGTTTTGAAGTGATACAAAGTTTTTTTATCTGCTAGGGCCTGAAGCAACTGTTGTTTGAAAAAGGATATTTGTCCACTACCATGGTGGGKTTTTTTAATAAAAAATATTCATCATTCCATTGACGGCAATTCAATGTACTTTCATGGGTTTTGTGTTTTCACAAAGCATGGGTTTTGTGTTTTTTCTATTCTCTGCAGTCACCAAAGCTTCAGGCACTAAATAAGACTTGAGTCAGGTCATAACATTTCMGAGTGGTCCAGACACTGAACAAGCATGATGGAAATCTTCGTAGCCTTTGGACAAGTTAGGTATCCCGAGCTCAGGGCACACCAAACCAGGTATTTCGTTATTTTTTATGCTTCACTTCTGCTGGATCATCTGTATCGACCCATTTGAACRTTGGGAAGGGTAAAATAGGTCAAAAGAAATTTGGCTGGTATTTGGAGTTGATCTCATTTTACTTCATCCTTTACAATCTTAAAGTGATTCTTCAATCCTTTCACACAGAGATAGATGTGTATCGATGCTGAGCAAAAGACATGGAAAAATCGGCAGTGACAATAAAAAGCAGCTCATAAAATTTTTTTTTTTTTAAAAAAAAACCCTAAATTTAGGCAGAAGAGGCTTGCAGAATTATTGGATTTCGAAGAATCTTCAGGTCATGATATTAAAAGAGGAAGTGCTTTGCTTTTGATTGCAAATATTCTATACAAAACCTAATTGGGGCACTGGTGATCATTTGAATCTTCAAATGCAGACAAATACCAGCACTGATAATCCAGGTTTGGGAATCCGTGGTGAGATGAATACAGGAAGTCTGGTTACAGCTACACAAACAAACAAATCTCTGGGATTGAAGTCTTTCAAAGGAGTATCTTAGAAACCACAGAACTTCAAAAAATACACAGGCTGTAGAAATGTACAACATTGGCTCTATCTTTTTGTAATCTGTTGATCAAGAAAAACTACATATTTATTAACATCACAAGTAGTATGTGTATATTCCTAGGCACATCCTATGGCATCATGCACAATTCCATACACGGCACATCRATAAACTCCAAGAGAATGCCACTTCTCAAAGTGATGTTGGTAACAAATTATTCTTAACCTATTGTACCAAACATATGAATAGAAAAAATTGGAGCACATACTTCCTACGGAAAACAGCAAAACCTAGTAAAGTTTAACTTGGCAGAAATCAGGGACAGATAGCATCAGAYACAAATCAAACCTGACAGCCCATCCTGTAAATAGAAGGAAAACAGTGTCTTCATACTTTCAAACAGGAAAAAAAAAATACCACTAGCAATGCCCCTATCCATCTGACACTAAATGTTCAAAACCTTCAAGTCTGGGCTTTAGAAAGTACCAATCAATACCTTCCACTTTCTCTACACTGTCCATTGTTGGATTGTTTTCACTTGTTCTGTTCTTATCCTTTCTCACTGGATTGTTTCATTCTTCCATTATACTGAATAACATGGGGGTGATGAAAAAAGCTCATGAAAAGATATTCAGACAACCAGAGAGGCGGCAAATTCAGAATCTCTGAGGGGGGTATGTGCATTCTTGCAGAATCTTAATGGAGCGATGACTGCACCTAAATGCAAGTACAAGTTCCCAGGCAACCAACCTGAAGGAAACAT